ACAAATTTTTTGCAACGGACGATACGATACGCGAATCGAATTATTTCTTATTCCTTACGTTCGCGTGACTGCCGTCCGTACCCTGTTGGAAGACCGAACCGTATGTATTACATGCGCCGTACATTTGACTGATATTGTTGTAACGATCGCGAGTCGGCGGTGCACTCACGTTGATCCCTCGCGTGGTGCTCGTTGATCCAGAGCCAAATTTATCTCTTCGCGTCTCCGCCACCGCACATCGATACGGAATGCTCGGTGTTATTGTATCGTTGGAAATCCGCAAAAGCATATCAAACCCAAAATTCCACACCGATTGCGCACACGCAGTATATTATACATAATAATACGTTCTATTATCATTATTAGTATAATCGTTTACATATACTCTACGCTCTTTCTCTCTCTCTCTCTCTCTCTCTCTCTCTCTCTCTCTCTCTCTTTTCTGCTGGCACACCGTGGTACACTCCACCCTTGCGCGCATACCAGTCGAGGTGATATCGGCGATAGACCGTACTGTTGCTGGCTGTCGCTGAAACAGTCGTAGTCGTCGAAAACCGGCAGATAAGCTAATTGCCGGGCGCCAACAGCAATAATTCGGTTGGAAGCAATTACTACCGCCACCGCTACCGATATATGCATACATGTACGGTGTATAAATAAATATATACGTATATTATACTACGACTATAACGCGGAGACGGAGTATAAGACTTTCGCGTGGGCGGCGGGAAAGAGTAAAGGATTTTCAAGACGACATGGCGGAAGAGCAGAGACGAGAAATAAGCGTTGCCTTTAATTATTATTGTTGCCGCTACCCCCGACGCTCGATCGCGGGCGCGTGTGCATAAATGTGTGCGGTAAGAACGCGTGTGCCAAAAGTCGAGAGAGTGGAACGTTTCGATAAGAGAGAAAAGCTTTTGGCCGACAGTTTGTTCGGCACAATTAAAACAGCCTTCGCCCGACACCGCTGCCATTGCGCGCGCGCGCACACACACACACTCGTATATGTATATGTATTTATATACGAAACTTTTTACCGATGAATGTTTAAAATACAGATGTTCGATATTATATATAATGATTCCTCCCCCGCCGCGCATTATTTCGTGTAGAAAATTCACGTTCGAGGGGTCGGTTGACGGGGTAGGTATTATTACATCTGTCTGCGTGTACAGAGCAATATGGTTGAGCTGTGCGAGGAGAGCAGCAGGCGAGAGCCGTTCAAGATGTTGCGCGCGTAAAGAAGTTTCGTTAATTGAACCGTCGGTGCAGTAAAATTCGGACAAAATGCGGCTGATGGGAGTTGTTCTTTTTGATTCGATCGTCATCGTCGTTACGTGTGTGTGCGTGTAATGCGATGTACGATTGTGAAATGCTGTGGTGCGCTAATTGTTATTGTTATAGGTTAGGTTCTTCCAACCGTTACACTAACGCCATCGTCATCGTTAAGCCCTGGCAGCAAACTTTTACCGAGTTTTTCAGACCATACACGTATTTATACCCAAACATAATGGAATAGGTAACCGTGTACGATAAAAGCGTTCTGTGGTTCGTAATTTTTTCTTTTTCGTAAACGATTCAAAATCCGGGTTAGACTTCAGGTTTTTCATCTTGTCCACCTTCAAAATATGTTATGATCCGCCCTATAATGTTACGTCGAAGTATTCATCGTTCCCGAAGTTCTTACGAATATTTATTTCATTCAAGTTAATTTTTAGTTAATTTTTCTCAACACGTTTGCCATGGAAAATCTATTCTACGGCATTATATAATATATAAGTTTAATTTTGTAAAAATGATTGAAAATCAATTATTGCATGAGCAGTCATCGATAAAATTTTGTCTAGTGTAAACATGAGTTCTGGTATTATTATTATTATTATTATTTTTAAGTATTAATAGTCTTTACAATTTAATAAATCCGTGTTTGTCCATTTTTTTTCTTTTTTTTATTGAGAAGAGGCTATTACGCTTGAGTTGTTATATTTAATGAACCATAAAAACCCATTAGACCAATCCTACGCTTATTGTGGCAAAACAAAAATATCAGTATAATTTGTACTTGTTTTTTCTTTTATAATTTAAAATTTATTTTTAATAAAAAAAATGTAACATTTAATTATTTGAGATGGTCATTAAATCTTATAATTAATCATATTAATTGTTTTTTAAACTATTAACAGTTTATAATATTGTTTTATTGATTATTTTTTATAGTACTTCGTACACATCAACTTTATTTTCAATATTTTTATAACAGTATTACTGGATTGCTATCAAACATAGGCATTTATAATAGTACCTTTTTATCATGTGGGCGCCAGATTTTTGGCACACACGTGCATTACTTTACACACAAATAGATGGATACAATAGGTATATGATATTTAGGAAAACAAATTATGCAAAAGAAAGAAACCATGGGGAATTGAATGAGTTTCATAGAATTTCTTATGTATCGAGATCAAGACGTGAAAACCGAGCGAAAATGCGGTTTAATTCAAAACTTTGGCTAATGAGAGACTGCGCACTAAGAAAAACTAGCTAAGTTTTGGTCCGTATTATTTTTACCGTTTGTTTATATTCTCAATTCTTACGTGAGGAGACGCTTCGGATTTTCTATAAGAACAATTTGATTAATAATATAAAACCGAGAAAACTTTGTCGTATTTACTCGATAGAAAATTTGAAAACAAGCCGCGTGTTCCGAAGTTAAAGTTAGGTAAATAATCATTAAATCGTTGCATCGCAACAAACATGGCCAGTACAAATATTATTTCAACATCAATTATAGTTTAGCAAACAAATTTTTCAAACCAATACCGTTCGACTACATGCACGTGCAGCGTAGACTCACGCCGTTACTCGGGCACCGTTGAGCGGTTCGGGTATTTATACTACCTGTACATGGTAGTTGGCAAGTAGACTTATTAAAAGTTAACGCGGTGCAGTGCGCGCATCGCTTAACGTTTTTAATAAATCGTACGGTCTTGTAGACATTTGATGTTTCGTGAAAAATACGCGTGCACGTTCCGAGGATATTAAAATATTGAGTTTCGAAAGTATTTGCACACCGCGCGCGCAATACACATCTCCGCGGCGGACAAATAAAATGCGCGCGCGCCCGCGTTCGTTTTCCTCTCGACCGCGGCGTACCGTTATCGGCAAAAAGTGAACACACGCTTTGCACATATACCTTAACACACACACACACATACTTAAACTAATATATCCCAAGTACTGCACGATATAAGTGTACATACTACATACGTGTACGGGATGTATCACTCAAGTGCGTTAAAAATCGATGGACGCGCGTTTCCCGTCCCGTACATCTTTCTCAAACATCTGCGAACTTCTTGCGTCACACGCGGTGCACGTAAATTATATTTTACATCGCGCGTGTTTTTTCCGCACGTGTTTTTATACATCTCTTTGGTGCTTGTAAAACTTAATGGTTTTGATCGAACGCATTATATTCTCCGCCGTCGACGCCGCTGGTTGTTTTTGACAGACACGTTCGCTGTGCCCGCGTACATAATATAAATAAATACGCGCAACCGTGTACAACAATATAAGTGTATACACTTACCCTGGCCCCCGAAAGCCGTTTTTTGAATGATTGATAACAAACGATCGCGCGTTCACAAAACTCTTTTGAGATGCCGCCCTTACACGGGTTCGCGCGCAACAGCAGCAGCGAGAGACGGGGGTCGGACGCGATGAGAGGGCACGAGCTTTTAATTATTAGACTCTTTCTCTCTCTCTCTCTCTCTCTGTCAAATGTGTGTATATATTATACACTCGAAATTACAATATAATAATAACGTACACAAAAATCTTCCGCTTATCCGAAAACCTGTCACGGCGAAACTTTTCCGATGTTTCTGCAACTATACACTACTGCAGCCGTCGCTCGCTGTTCAGAACACTCCTCGCCCCGACCACACATAATATAATGTGATCTTCACTGTACATCACTCTCTTTCATTCTTTCTTTCCCTAACACACACACACACACACCTTGCTCTCTCTCTTTTACGTCGATCCAATTACTACACGTGCATATATCCGTATACACCCGCGGTGTACACGACTACGACGTGTCTTGCGTACCGTGCAAAAAGTTCGCGTTTTCCCCGCCGTTCGATAACAACGGGTAGAGTGATTTTTCACGCACGTCAGCCATCGCCCTGAGAAAAATATTCGTTTCCACGGCGTTTTTATCACGAAATTTAATCAATTTTTTTCATACCGATACCGACATTATTATTTCGTTATGCCGTACATCATACCAATACGGTATTAAAAAATGACCGCGAACGGGTGTGTAAAAATAATTACATATGTTTATATTTATATATCATGCGGGTCTACAAAATGTACACATATATAGAGCATTCGAACACATTATGATGTACAAAGCGTTTCGCAATTGTCACTCTAAGTTTAATTGGTTTGCGAGCTATAAAAAAAAAATAAAATATGGATGTGAACAGTATGTATAACTTAGTTTTTCTTTGCAGCCTTTACACGTCAACTACGAAAATAATGTATATTGATCTGTAGACATTATTTTTAAACCCGGTGTTGTCGTCATTACATATTATTATTAAAATAATTGCCAAGGGCCAAGATATTCGTACATTTCTAGAGAGCTATGATATTTCACACTTAATATAACACATGCATGATTTTGGCAATCGCATGACTTTTTGTAGGTCTGAATACGTCTTATATAATAACGAATACGCGATATTTAACCGAATTCACGCTAATGACATGTATTATAGGCGACACCATACATTAAAAACATTAGCTTTAAGTCGAAATTTCACAATTTTATCATGTGTCGTGTTTTAAAACCACACGTGAAATAACTTGTAGTATATCAATAGAATATTCGTATAAAATTAACATCACTCAGGGTTAAATACCATTATTTTGCGTTGCACAAATGTTTTAAAAAAATAACATCTAGCTTTAAAATATGTACTTACTAAAATGTTCGTTCCATCGGATGTGTGATTGTAATAGAGGTATTATGCATACCGAGCGCGATGTTGATGGTCATGACGAAAGATATTTTACACTCTATTAATATCCACGTGCCTGTATCATCGCAGTATATAACCTGAAACACGATAATTTGTTTGTTGTGAATTTTATATAAAAAAATACAATATACATAATGGTTTATAATATGAATAAATGCACATTAAAAACTCACCTACACCGGACAAGTCGTGTAACTGGTCTTGATTTGTTTCGCGGGCCTTCCGCCTTAATCGAAGTGTTTATCTACTCGCCGTAATCTATATATATATATATATACAAAATAATCACTTTAAAATATCATATTCAGCGTTTCTATACGTTTTGATATATTGTTTCATAACAATTTTTTTGCATGTATTCAGCACCGTATTGGAAAAATATGTTTCGTGGCACGGAACGTAATATACATTAATATATTATTTACCACGAGAACCTAATGTCGTTTGGTTTTTTTTTTCAATAAATTCACACAAAACGCGTCTTACGAATCGGTTGCTTTTTATTTTTTTAACGGAGCGAAGAATGTTCATGTTTCGGTTTAATCTTACATCCGCACCTACCATTTAAATTCGGCGTTCTATCGTGACCGGCATCGTATAACATTTGATTTTATCGTCACCCGACATCGGTACGGTGTTCATGTGTGTGTTCACGTTAAGCCACGGATTCTAAAATTCGCGTGCGTACGTCATCGGTACGATGCGCCGCGGACGAGAAACTCAACGGTTCGTGTACCGTCCGATTGGCTTCCGTGTGGTCCGTCGTGGTCGCGTTCGGTTCAAGGCCCATTCGGACGGTCCCGCGGTATCGAACTCGAGTGCCCGAAACGCAGTTCACTTGTCATCTATGTCGGTCGTAGGACGTACAGATCAGGTATGGCTGAACTAAACGAACTACACCCAAGTCCCGAGTCCGATTCAGACGAAGAAACGGACGAACTCTTACCGTTGTATTCATTATTAAAACGAAGAAATAAATCTTGATGGAAAAGTGCGTACGCGAAGAGACGAGATGATCACGGAGTGAATTCTTTCTTACGTCGGAATTTCCCGATAAACCGTTTAGCAATCAATTCCGTTTAAACCGAAACCAGTTTTGCGCAGTGTTATCAATAATAAAATGTATTCAGACGTAATGCACGAAGACAAAATGATTGCGAAGAAAAGCTCGTATTAATTTTGCAAAATACTTGTATTCCGCACACCTACACTTTTATTTTTATTCCCGAATAACAAAAATGCTGTACCACGTATTATGATTTCATGTTGCACGATTTAATTAAGTTTTAACCATACTTATACCATTGTTCTGTTCGAGGTCATCAGCAATCCTGTCCACCGTTTTCTAACTTCGATTTCGTGCAATCGGCTTACGATATTTTGTGCGGACGAACGGCTTCGAATGATTTCGCTTCCATTGCGACGTTACGCTGGTGATAAATAACGTGAAATACGAAAAACCGATTGACGCGTTCGCGGTGATCTGCGTCACTGTGCGAAGCAGGTTCACGCAGGCACCGAACCGCTCCGTCCACCATGTTCGACCGACGTTCGCAGGTTCAAACCCGTGTACCACGAATTCTTTTACCACTCCGCCCGGTCCGTACCGACTGCGTCTCGATGGTCGCGCGACGGTTGTCGACGTGTCATTTTCGCAGTTTCATTACCGACGGAACGGTCAGGCGGGGCCGCCGGGAGGCGACGGAAGACGACTTGGGACACTCACCGCCATCGCCAACGGTACTCGCGGCCACCCGGATACCGCGTGCACAGCGGTCGTCGGAACGACCGGAGATTTCCCGATGACGACCAGTACCGGGGTAGCGGTCTCGCGCGTCGTTGTGTACCCAACACGAAACGTACGCGCAGCGTAGACTACCACCCGAGTCGGAGTGGTCGCGTCGTACATTCGACTTCGACGTTTTCTCTCTCACTCAATCTCTCTCTCTTTCTCTCTCTCTCTTTGGTTTTGTTTCGTTTCGACCGCGAGCGCATAAATCTTAAAAACAAAATTGATTTATGCCGCGCGTATCCCCGCGCCGAACGCGCGGAACATGTTGGGTGGGCGAAGGTATTATTTCATTTTTATTTTTTTTTTTTATTTCTTAAAAATACGTTTTTTTTTTCTTATTATTCCTATCCGTTCTTGTTTTCTTTCCAAACAGTGATTATCGCACCTGGCCGCATGCTGAGCGGAATATTCCGAAAACCACAATTCCTCGATATCGTTCAATCTGGGATGAAAAAAAAAAAAAATTATGAACACGTAAAAATAAATAAAATAAATATAATGATAGAAATATACAAATACGTATATAGTAAAGACAATACAGCGGCGGACGCACAGTCATATTTTAATATGCGCGTGCGCGAGCGTTCGGACACGCCGGGTCGATAAATAACTCACCGAGAACTTTTTACCGGGTTCCGATTATAATTTATTCGACGTGGAAAAGAAGAGAAAAAAAATTGTTGTTTCTGTTGTTGGACACGTCGAACGATCTACGCCGCGTGTCACTGGTTTAATGCATTGCTCGGTTTATCGGACCGCGTTTATATCATTGCGAGTGGCGCACGCACGCACGGAGTAGCTATTGGATTACGGCTTTGTAACGTCTCGTTTTCTCGTGCGATGCGTGAACAGATGTACGCATTGACCCACGGAGGTGTCTATCGCGTCTGGCCACAATAGATGTCTTGACGAGGATGTACACATGTGCCTCTACGTGCAATATTTCCTACGGTAATCCTGTCTCATCGAAGTTCTTTCCCTACGTATTTTATGTCATCGGCCGAAGGAATAATAAGATTTTTTTTTTTCTACAGGTAATCAAGCTCTATACAGTGGATTAGCGATAAATCACAAACGGAACTGGAAAAAGTTTACCCGAGATATCGCTACGATTAAGAGCCCTTCACTCGGACACCCTGTGTATAATAACATGTGTCAGCGTGAATACGATTCTATGGATTATATAATAATTGCTGCTCGTCGATCAGCGATCGCGTTAACTATATGCACGAATGTGTGTATTTAATATTTCTTTTTTTAATCGGTACGTTTTTATTTTTTTCCGCGCATTCAACGTGTGCGCATAAGTGGTTTATACTACAAGTATATTTAGACCGTTTTGATCTCGAGGACACGTAAGAATCGATCAGTTTACAACTCCGGCCACATAGGTAGGCATGTTATATATTCTGTCCTATCGGAATGGTTATTAAGTACAAACAAACCGTTACACGACGATTTACATATATTTAAATCACCACTATTTTTTTATTTTTTTTTTATCGAAAAACACATGGTTGTAGTTCATTGTGATGTATCTCGATCGGACACGATTTACATATTTGATATATAGGTAAATCGAAAATGTGCCGCGTGAACAATAGAACAACGAAAACTCGTTTTTGTAATTAATTTGTTTGTTCGTAATTAAAACAAACGTTTTATAAGAGTATATATGTATATTAATTATGCAGTATAATATGCATGTGTATGATGTATGTATATGTATAAAATAGTTTTCACGATGGTATTATTATATCAAGTATACCGTGTTAAGGATAGTTTCCATCGATTAGTTCGTTGTACAGTAATTGTTAGTGTCCGCGTGCAAGAGTACACACGGTCGTTGCACCAATTATAGAGTTCATAAAAAAGTATGTTAAAAAAAATTGTTTCTATTGTTATTTTACTTAATTCAATCTGAATTATCCTGAATCACCCGAGGGAAATTTTGTACTTTTTTAGATTAAAGCAATCAATAATCCTAAACTTGTTCAATTGATTTTATACTACATTAATTTACATACACCTCAATTGATAATTATTAAAATCAACGTATTATGGAAAAATAAATAAATACTTCTTAACATTTTCCCATGTTTAAATGTGATGCCAAGCGATCCGGGTGTTCGAGCACGCGGAGAGCGAAACGCCTATAAGATTTTATGACCGATGTGTCCATCGGTTCTTGTTTGATTTTACCGTTGTTTTCTTCCGAAACAACAACCGGAATACTGTCCGAAGGACAATCCTCCGGAACAGTACTCAACAAACTTACCGCGTTCCGTATTCCTACGCTACACAGGTATCGGTATCATGAGCTTAAAGTATAGGAAAGTGCTCGAATAAGAATTTACTTCACAATAAACATTGTAGACATGATGCATAACGCTGATCGTTGGAAATGTGATATGCGATCGCCGGTCAGCAATCGAATCGATGTCAAAAAGTTTTCTCGAGAAAACCTGCGTCGACCGACTGAATCCGGATACTCGATAAGGACTGATGCGGTGTGATGTTTGTGACGGACAACTGTCTATGTTTCAGATATATCTTAACGTGAAATGTACTGAATCGTGTTATGTATGTTATAGGAAAATTCCCGTCCGGAGAGATTGCTGATTAATGAAACAGCTTAAAGCCTACAAACATTCGTGGGGACACACGGTTTTCGCGCGGTGGGCGGCACACGTAATTATACGTGCTTTTCGTGGTCACATATTATTCGAATGCATTGTGTACGGAACGGGGGAAAAAAATCACCTCGTTGTTCGACCGTTGCGACGGACTCCGGTATCCTGACTCTGACTAACCTCCTGAACCGTGTGCACACGTGTGGATACACGTCGCATTAAATAATACAATACGAGAATAATAATAGCGGTGGATCGACGTTGATAAGAACATGGAAAATTAATTTTCATTAAAGGTGACGGGGGTATACGGTTTCTATATCAATTGATGTACCTACGTATATACACCTATATAATGGGCATATACACCGAGGAAGCAGCCTATAATAATACAGAGCGTTGTTATTAAGACGTATCATATTTGATATATTTATTTTTATTTTTTTTTTTCACGTCAAAAACGTCATTGTGTCGCGGCCGCCGCCGCATCGTTTCGGGACGACGACGTATTATTATAATGATATATCCGTCCGCGTTATATTTACAAAGCGTAATAAATAGCCGTGTAATTATTATAAAAGGCGATGTCCCGCCGCTGTTGTCGTCCGCGGCGGTCTGACGCGGGACGGGGCACGGGGGCGCGTCGTGGTCCGCGGGGACACTGATGCAAATTAATGATTCCCAGGGATCTCGTGGCGTGTAACCGGACCCGCCGTCGTTGTTCGACGAGCATTGCTGACGGGCCGACGACGTATACAGTACACAATGGTCCGAGGAGAAACGGTATTTACCGTCGGCACGTATTATACGATTTACAATACCCGGGCAGACGGGAGACGGGTTCGACCGCCGCGATGGAATAATACGTCACCCGGCGGTGTCCGGTGATGCGCTCGTCGCGGTCCGAACGAAGACTGCAGTGCCGTTGATCGTACGCGATGCGCCTTCGACGGGTACCCGTCACCTAGCCAGTACGTTTGTCGTTAACGCCCGAAAACAGCAACGGTCCGCTCGGAAACCAAACGGGTTACCGAACTGACGATTCCCGGAACCGACGCTTTGACCGATTTTTTTTGTCATATTTTTTTGATTTGTACAATCTGTATAAAATATATTTACAATTAGCACAATAGATGGAAAGATATTTAATAGGTCATGGTTGAATTGAGTGAAGAAGCTTTTCAGTAATAGCACTTCATGGTATGGATGGTAGTGGTCAGTCGACTTGTCGGCTAGTTGACTAGTAGGTCACGGGGAACTAGCTGCGCTTTAAACGTCGGCCACGGTCGCCAGGGAGTGTTCGAGAAGAGAGGTTTTGGATTAGGGGGTTACGGTGATTTGCAAGCTTATGGCGAAAACGACTTAGACCGATTGATTTTATTTTATATAATATTGTTGTGGATGAATGCGACTCGCAACCGCGCCGGGTGTGTATTGGTAGTACAAGTTATATTTGAAATAAAATCGTGGATTGTTATCGCCAATATCGTAATCAGTGATCTGCACTCGTCGACCGCTGTTAAACGTATTATTTCAGCGATACCAAACACAACGATACGCGTTCTTTTTTTGGGACGTTGCGAGTGCTACGCGATGTCGGTAGTGACCAAGGTAACGCAACGAGTGCACGGACCTGATCGTTAAAGCCCAAGTCCGTCCAATACATTTTTGATATAAATTTAGCGCGACCCTATTCGTTTAAGTTAAACTCGTGCGGTTTAGTCGATGAGTCCACTGAGCACGTGTGAAAGCCCAAACGGAACCCGTTATCGCTGACTGTTGGAATCGCCTAAAGCAGGGGTCGGCAACCTTTTTGGTGTCAAAGGCCAAAAAATAAAAATAAATTTTTTCACGGGCCATAATTTGAATACACCTTATTTTATTTAAACGAAATATTGTAGTAATTTAAAATTTAATTTATTTAAGTACATCACTGATTGGTACATTAATTATCGAGGTATCTACAAACAAAGTTATAATAATAATTATACGTAATAATAATAATAAAAAAATACATAGTAAAATATAGTATAATATTGGAAAAAATATATAAATAAAAATTAATGTGATTTTTGAGTTTGAATAGCATCAACAAGTGTATTGATAGCAGGTTTTATTTTCGATGTAAAAATTCTCAATACTGCGTTTAAGTGACCATCGGTTAATCGCGAAGCATATTTGCTTTTCCGATATTTCATTAGGGAAAAAGTTTGTTCACAAATATAAGTGCTCCCAAATATGGTCAACATTTTTTTTAGCAAAATAAAATATTTTGTTTCACAGAGACTCGAATAAAACTGAATTAAATTATTACAATCACGAAAAGCGGTTTTAAGACATTCGTCACTTTGCAACTCAATAATTTCCATTTGTAAACAGCTTTCAACGTCATCAATATCAACTACAAACGGGTTCTGAAATAATTTAATTTTGAAGTCAATTG